TGTATGTATGTATGTATGTATGTATGTATGTATGTATGTATGTATGTCTGAGGGCTCTGACAAGTGCTCGATGGACCTCTACCTTTCTCTGCTGCACACCGAGGTTGCAAGAGGTTGGGGGGCTCAGTTTACACCCCCCCCACACACACACACACACACACACTCACCCCCTCTGCTTCAGCAATAAGCCAATAGGGGGTACTTGCTCCAGCTTGCAGGAGCTGGCTGTTTTTCAGCCACATTTTAAGCAGATAAACCCAAAAGATAAGGAAAAAATGTTTGGTTTTTTTTGTGCAAGCTGCACTTGCCAGCATTTCACTCAACTATTTTAAGAAAAGCCAGTCACATCATGTTTTGATGCTCCTATTGATTTGGGAGGGGGGGGGGGTTACAGAGCACACAATGCGTTAACAGTAAATTCAATCATGATCAATGGCAGCAGGGAACAAAAGAAGAGAGAAGTGATGTTGTTTTCTTAAAGGGGGATCGACCCCCCCCCACACACCCACCGCGCTCCCTCCCTCCCACTGCTCACGTTTAGGACTCTTCACGCGTAGCTCCGCCCCTGCTCGTCCCCAACGCCGCCATTGGCTGTCGGGATCCGGCCGTGGCGCCGTGATTGGCCACCGGCCGCGTCACTCCGCGGGCCGGACTTTATCTACCGAACTGCTGCGGCGCAGAGCTCCGGATTCTGCCGAGGGGCCGCAACAGCTGACCGCCGAGCTCCCTGCCCGCCGCCTCCACGAACAAAGACAGGAGGACAGAGCCGTTCCCATTACAATTCGTAGCTCTTTTTTTTCTTATTTTTTTTCCAAACGTCGTACAATACGCAGGGCGCAGCGAGGACGCGAGATGAGGCACGCAGTCACAACGGCACAAAACGTGGAGAATAATCCGATCGCAGTGACAGATTTGTTAAAGATATGCACCCATTGTGAACGGCTGAGCAAAAAGGTAAGAGCACAGGGGCGCAGAGCCTCAGGACTCTGTGTGGGGGTTCAAAACCACCACAAAAAAAAGAGGTGTCACTTTGCGTTTGCGTCCTTTCGGACCGTCGGGCTTGCGGCGCATTGTCCGGGCTTGTTTACGCGTTTGGAGAGCCAGTCGAAAGGTCCCAGAGCTGTGCGGACGCCGTCTCCTCAAATCAGCTTTAGATCACCTTTTTAAACAATCCGATGTGGCTCGTAGTCGTGTGCGCTTTTGGAGCTGAAGGCGAAGGTGCCTTGGCTCGTGCGCAGCGGGACGGTGTCCGCTGGACACGTCTGGACAAGCAGCGGAAAGTTACCGGACATAATGGAGACGGTGTGCAGGTCTCTGCTGGCGTTTAATCATGAATGAAGGGGGGGGGGGATCATCCGATTTGAGTTGGATTTCATTCGATTTTCTGTGGAGATGCAAGTGACTTCTGTATGACAGTAACTTAGATTTACATGGAGGTTCTAATAACCTTTTAGTTGAAGGTTTCAAATGAATTCAGCCCTCTGAGTTTATTCCAAATGGATCAGCAACAATTGTGACATTTAAGAGACAAATGCATGAGAGGAATGTTCTAAATGGTCTTTAGAGCTTTGCATTGATGTTTAAGCAGATGTTTTTCTGTCTTTTGCGGGTTTTATTTCCATTTTTTAAATGAATTTCTCGCTGTTTTTATTGCAGGACTTGGGAGTGAGGATCCCAAGACCTCTAGGTAACGGACCAAGCAGATTTATCCCCGAAAAAGAGGTACGAGGGAGCCCGCGTCGTCCTTTAGGATCTCCGTCCCGCACAGAAAAAGCCTTGAATCCATTTTTTTTCTTCTCATTTTTGCTACTTTTCCTCAATCAGATTCTTCAAGTCAGTAAAGTGGACACCAGGACGCAGTCGATATTCGAGGATGCGTTTGCAGCCCTCGGCCGCCTGGACAACATTTCCCTGGTGATGGGCTTCCACCCGCAGTACCTGGAGAGCTTTCTCCGGACGCAGCACTACCTGTTGCAGATGGACGGCCCGCTGTCCCTGCACTACAGACACTATATCGGCATCATGGTGCGCACACACACACACACACACATGCAACCCCCCCCCCTTTCCAGATTGCTATGCAGGACCTTTGGAAAGAAAAAAGGCAGGGTGATCTAATATCTGCTCTCTGTCCCCCCCGACCCTGCAGGCGGCGGCCAGACATCAGTGCTCCTACCTGGTCAACCTGCACGTGAACGACTTCCTCCAGGTGGGGGGGGACCCCAAGTGGCTGAACGGGCTGGACGAGGCCCCGCACAAGCTGCAGCAGCTGGGGGAGCTCAACAAAATCCTGGCACACCGCCCTTGGCTCCTCACCAAGGAACACATTGAGGTGAGCGGAGGCTGTAGCTGTAGGGTGTGTGTATGTGTGTGTGTGTGTGTGTGTGTGTGTGGGGAGGGTAGGTGCAGCTGTGTGACTCGGCCAGATTTAGGATTCATCGACGGGGATCGAAAACCGAGGCCCTGACGTGGTTTTGGAGGTTGTTTTCTAACTGGTGACGGTGCGGCGACTGGGTTCGGGGCTCACGCTTTTTTTTTTTTTTTGGTCTGCAGCAGCTCCTGAAGGCGGAGGAGCACAGCTGGTCGCTGGCCGAGCTGATCCACGCCGTGGTCCTGCTCACGCACTACCACTCCCTGGCCTCCTTCACCTTCGGCTGCGGGATCACGCCCGAGATCCACTGCGAGGGCGGCCACACCTTCAGGCCCCCCTCCCTCAGCCAGTACTGCGTGTGCGACATCGCCAACGGCAACAGCCACGCCAATCACCACGACGACCTGCTGGGCGACCAGGTGAGCGCCGGCTGCCCGGACGGGGGGCGGATCCTCGCCCGAAAAGGAAAAGGGGACGAGTGGCCTCACGGTTTGCGTCCCCCCCCCCCCTCAGGACATGTGCGGTGAGGTGGAGGTGCTGATGGAGCGCATGAAGCAGCTGCAGGAGTGCCGGGACGACGAGGAGGCCAGCCAGGAGGAGATGGCCACGCGCTTCGAGAGGGAGAAGACGGAGAGCATGCTGGTGGCCGACGAGGACGAGGAGTGCGTCCCCTCCAGGGACGTGTCCCGCCACTTCGAGGACCCCAGCTACGGCTACAAGGACTTCTCCAGGAGGGGGGAGCACGTGCCCACCTTCAGAGCGCAGGTACGGAGGGGGGTGCAGCGCGTCAGAACGGGAGGGGGGGGGGGGGGGGGGGGGCTCCAGAGGGGCCGGGGGGGGGGGGGCCTTTTTTTTTTTCCCCTTAGGACTACAGCTGGGAGGACCACGGCTACTCCCTGGTCAACCGGCTCTATCCGGACGTGGGCCAGATGCTGGACGAGAAGTTTCAGATGGCCTACAACCTGACCTACAACACCATGGCCACGCACAAGGACGTGGACACCAGCATGCTGCGCCGGGCCATCTGGAACTACATCCACTGCATGTTCGGCATCAGGTCAGTCTGCGGACGGAGGTCCGGCTCCACCGACCCCGCCCCTCCCAGCGTGCCCGTCCCTGACCCCCCCCCCCCCCCGCCTGCTGTGCTCCGCAGGTATGACGACTACGACTACGGGGAGATCAATCAGCTCCTGGACCGCAGCTTTAAGATCTACATCAAGACCATGGTGTGCAGCCCTGAGAAGACCACCAAACGAATGTATGAGAGCTTCTGGAGGCAGTTCCAGCACTCCGAGAAGGTGAGGCTCCCCCCTATTTCCCAGTGGGCTGACGTGCCGCGCAGTGTTTTTCACCGGCGGGTTTTAATGACTCTTTCCTTTCTCTCCCGTCTCCCGCAGGTCCACGTTAATCTGCTTCTTATGGAAGCACGAATGCAGGCAGAACTGTTATACGCTCTGAGAGCGATCACCCGCTACATGACATGAAGTGCTTTCGGCGTTTTGTATCGTTGTCCTTTTACTGTCATTGTTGTTGCTTATTATGGGACACTTTAAAAAGAAAAAGAAAAAAAGTCGGCGCGGGCGGTGGGGGGTTCACCAAAAAAAAACAAGAAGTGCAAAACAGTCCTGGGTGGTGAATGCAGTTGGACACGGAGAAGAGGATCAGAACAAATGGAAAAGAAAAAAGAAAGAAGCAGATTCTTGTTACAGGGGAGTCGTCTGGGTCTTCAGGAGGAGACCCGCACGGGGTTGCCTGTAGTGCCAAAAGCCACCAAGGGAGGGCAGCCTGGAGCAGACTCCTGCCCCGCCAGGGGGGGCTGAGCCGGACCCCACACCGCCCACCCCCAGGACTACAGCTCAGTATTCCAGCATGCAAGATGATGCTGGCTGCCAAGCTCACCTGACAGAGTGAGAACCCAGAACCCCCCCCCCCCCCCATTAAAAAAAAAAAAAGAAAAGAGAGAGAGACGGAGCAGTGCAGCCAGAAAACGCCTGCACTTTGATTCTGTTTTTCACTGTTCTGTTTGTTTAGGTTCTTTAAATGACTCTTCATTTGGTTTTGTATCGCGTTCAGTGGATGTTGTGCATGTGCAAACTGGAGATGGACGCATTAACTACGGGCAGTGTTTGTTTTTTTTTACCAGTGCCTGAACTATCCAGCACAGCGTGCGTACGTGCTGGTGCTGCTGCTCCCGTGTTGTATTTTAGGGGGATCATATTGATTCCCAATCACCCCCTTACCAACCCCCAACCCCCTTACTGTAGCCCCTGTCCATTAGAAATCCACTGCATTACCCCCCTGACCTTCCTGTCTCCTCCTTGCGTCCCAATTCTCAAATGTCAAAGTAAGCTAACCCTAGGAGTGTGAAAACCAGAGATGTGGAGAAAAACAGCTCAAAAAAACACTGTCTGAGCCCTTTTTTTGAGTTTGATTGTACGTGTGTAAGTGAGTTTTGTGTTCACAATAACTGAGGCGTGGATGTTTGTGTGCGTTTCATAGAAATGGTGGCGAGAAAAGTACATTTTTGGCATATTTTCTCGTGTCCAGGAAAAACTAAAAAAAGCGAGGCACTCTGAAGGAAAGCCTTCTTGCTTCTGCTGTAGTTCTGTTTTTGTGAGATAGCTGTTTGTCCTTTGTTGATGATGTCTTTATTTTTCTGGTAATGGGGGAGGGGGGGTGGGGGGGGGGGAGCTATTCAAAACGAAAGTTTAGAAACCAGGTTTTCCAGGAGGGATTTGCTTCTGGTGGCCCTAACCACACCGTATCTTGTCTTCCGCTTATCCCGGCCGCCTGGTGGCCCTAACACTTTCAGAGCTTTGGATTGTGAATTTTACCAGTAAATGAATACCTCTTCTGTCTTTCTTTATGAAACCTATAAGAAGTGCTCTTTGGTGAGCAGAGACTCTTTCTCGGCCCCTGTGGGCCCTCCCAGGGCCGCTTGCGATCGACAGTCTTCGAGCGCAAAAGGTTGTAGCTGTGCTTATTTCCCTGCTGGGGAAGTCTAACCAGTGCATAAGCAGCTTTTTTTTTTCTTTTCTTTTTTATGCAGAGGTGTTACACCTCTGTGTTGTGTTTTTTTTTTCTTGTTCTTTTTTTTTGTTTACTAAAAATCAGTAAAGTACAGCATTCTTCTGGGGTTGGACTGAAAATCAGACAGACGAATGATTGATACCCAGATTACAAGGAGCAGGAGGACGGTTTTGTCGAAAAAGGAATGGTACATTTGGAAGTGGTTTGAGAGGAAGTGGAGGTTTTTTTTATTTTAATTTTTTTTTTCAAATTTCTGACTGTCAGTTACTGACACTTTTATATGAAAATATCTGGAAAAAAGTTTAAAAAAAATAAACTATAATATTCAATTGTTGTGTATCATTCGTAGTTTTTCCTAAACAATTCAAGTTGTGTTGCTTCATCAAAGAGATTGTATCGGATGTGGCGAGACCGAGGCAAATTCAGGAACCGGGCAGTCAAAAGCACAATCAGTGTCCCGGTCGCCTCAAGTTCACTGCTCAGCTGCACAGAAAAGGGACTCTGAACAACCCATTCTAATTAGTAAGCATATCCCAGTACTGTTATGGAAAAGGCTGACTTTGGATTGGTCTGTAAAACCTTTGGTCCAAAGTGCTCTGCTCTAAATAAAAGCGTAAGGTGAGCTCAGGTGAAGGGTTTCAGCACAGTTCAGGGACTTTGGTGTGAGTTCAGTTTTACTGTCTTCAGGACGGTGGCTCAGTGGGAACCGGCTAACAGTTCCCCGTCCTGCGGAGCAGTCCAGGTCAAGCCCTCTCTGCTCCTGACCATCCTTTTTAACTTGCCAGCTGAAGCTGGAAGTCTGTCTGAATTTCAGGGTGTTTTCCCCATCAAAGCCACACGAGTTTGTCCGTCTGTCCAGACACCAGCAGGCCGACCAAACGGCTCCCGTTTCGCCCGCTGTCCCTCAAAGTACGGCGTGAAAACTGCTTCTTTTTTAAGCAGCCCGCCAAATGTCTTTCATATCAGCCTGAAAACGTTAGTGTAGAGAGAAATGTTCATCAGCCCTGGCCAACGAGCTGTGGAGGGCTTTTTCAGTCTTGCTTGTCTGCTTGTCTTGTGGTTGTTACAGGTCACGACTGTGTGAAAAGTTCTGTTTTTTTTCTTCTCTTTGCTTCTTCTAAACGTTAAGTGCCGTTTCGGGTTTGTTTAAACATAACGATGTGATTTTGAAATGCTGTAACTTGGCTACTTGCTGTAACTTGTAAGCACTGCCGGGCCCCATATCTGTGTAATAATAAAGGCTTTGAGGAGCAGAAATAAAAATGTTTCTGAGCTTTTCTTCCGTTTCGCTTTATTACACACAGGCTCCAATGTCATGGAGACAGTAAAAGAATTACGTCTGAGGTGAATTCTAGGTCACACATTTAAGACTACTGAATTAACTTTACAACACAGTGTACTTTTGACAAAGTTGAGCCTGTTTTAACAGGTTCTGCATTATTACATGTGATATTCACCAAGCTTGAACCTGAGACCATTTGTTTATGATTTGTTTCATTTCCACAAACTGCTGACTTTAAAAAGTCTGTAACTTCATCCCTTGTGAAAGGCAGCTGCTGCTGTCAGCTTTAGACTCTGTAGTCTGCAGTCATATGGTTGTAAAATAATGACGGCAGCATACTGAACATACTAGAAGGATTATCAGAGCAGAAGTTTTAACACTTTACTGTGGCTCGTTGTCGAAATCACTTCTATTATACCTCCAACTTGCCTCGTCATCTGAAGTAAGCTGCCTTTAGAAAATAATTCACATCAAGCATTTATTAAATTCATTATATGTTTAAAGCAGAGTTAGACAAAACAACACAAAACTCTAAACTGTGAGCGGGTCTGGACACTGAAGGGCCTTTTTCAATTTCTGAGCAACAGGTAGGAACTCCAACTCCCAGCATGCAAAGTGGAAGCCCCTTGCATCTTCATTTTCCATCCACTTTGGAGCGTCCTCTTCTAAGGAATTAGATTTAAAAAGAGTGGGCAGAACATGAATGTTGATCAAAAGTCAGATTGTGTTCTCCCATCCCTTGATGGTTGGATAACATGAGCTAACCCTAGTGTGAATCCCCCTCTTGTTAAGCGTTGAAAATAATACAAACCTAAGTATGTGGTCAGGATCTCAAGCAGGGCCTCTTGTTGTTGTGTGTCCAAGCGCTTCTCAGATACGCCACCAGTCAGGTTCCACACAGCCTGACAGGCCTGGCCCGCCAGCTGCCAGTCTTCAGGTCCGAAATCTCTCAGGCAGTCCACCAGCCTGAACAGAAACACACACACACACACACACCATGTGACTCCAAGGAGAATTCACATGACCGTCCGTCAGGTCTGCAAACATTAGCTCCACTTGGCTGGACCCTCATCTGGAAGAGCACAGCAGGCGTGTGAAGGGAAAATAGGAAATGTAGCGTTCACGGTGTGCTCAGACGCTTGAGCGGATGCCAGAAGAAGGGTAAACAGAAATCCCCTCCTTTAATCCTTCATTAAACAAAAATATACAAATTAATCTGTAATGACATCAAATCTTGTCCTGTCCGAGAAAAACCAGCAGCATCTTGTTGGTGCCTGCTGTAAACTCCTTCAAAGAGGATGTAACCTGTCTAAATCCTGCTTGGCATTTTCAGTGTTAAATGGAAAATATTCATATGTTAATATATGTAGTGGATGCTCAGTTCTCATTTCATAGACTGTGTTTTTCCTGAAAGTTCTGGGTCTTATCTCTAAAATGCATCGCCGGTGAACTCCAGAAATACAAACACATACTCCATCTATGTGAATTTGTCCTTACTTTGCAAAAGCCCCCTCAAGTGCAAGACTGATCCTGTTGGGAGGGTCCAAAGCCAGGTTGGTTAGGACCCCGCAGGCTGAAAAACACATCTCAGGGCTCTTTGAGTCGAGCAGCGTCACCACAAACTGATGCACTGAGCGGTAAGAGGAGAAAGACCCAAGATAAGAGAGCTGCAATCACCAAAGTCAGCAGGAATGTTTATCCAGGGAGGAGCTGGCCCTGGAGATAAGTCCAGCCACAACATGAAACAATCTTTGACAGAAATTAGTTTTTGGTGCTGGCAGTCATGGTCAAATAACACAGTTTTCTGTAAGGATGTGCACTTTATTAAGTCATTTACTGTACAAGTGGAACTTGATGCAAGAGACAAGACTAAAAAGCAGCACCCAAGAGTCTCTGCTCTTTCACTCTTTGGTAGTTAACGCATCATGTCACAGATGCAAGTTCTGTATTAAAGAAGGTCTTGCTTATTTTAGCAGACACACTTTAGAGCAGAATGAAACTCTTGTGACCACTTCCTGATGCCTCGCACAATTTTTGGAGTTATTCACATGTAAGTTTAAAATGATCTAGTTGGGTTCTGTACCCACCTTTCTGGAAATAGGACTGTAGGAGTGTATTCAAATGGTTCAACTGTTTGAATTTCTGCTAATATAATCTGTATACCTTTGTTTTGCATTATGAAGTCTCTCACATCCTTGTACTGTGACAAGTTTCCATAGACACGGGTGGCCTCTAACATGGCGTCCATACTGTTGCTTAGCACCAACTTCAACATTGCTGCAGAACGGAGCAAATGGGGGGACAAAGGGAGTCACTCAGGTGGACAAAAAAGATATCACCACTTCTTTACGTGTCTTGCTCTTACACTTTGCGATGGCGAGCTGATTGTGTTTGATCTCGGAGTTGTCCGCGTTGTAGAATGACAGGTTGTTGATGGTGGCGGCCACATTCACCAGCAGCTCCTCGCTCTCCTGCACGCACCGCAGCTCTTTGGCCACCACAAAAAGAAACACGCATATGAATAAATAAGGTACCATAAGAATCATCATTTATGCAAATGAAAGGACCCTCTACACAACAACCTCAACACAATACGAAGAAAATTTGTTCAGCTTTTTATTCATTTAAAAGCTTTAACATGAATAATTCAAAGCGGCTGGCACTACTGTACAGAAGAAGCAAGACATTTCAACAATCCCTATATCACAATACACACTAGAGGAAAGTGAACACCTCAGAAAACTCAAAACGGTTTTTCCAGGGAGCTGTGTCACTGATGCAACATCAACATTATGATAAAAACAGCTGTCTCTGAGGTTAATTTTGGACCGATACGGTTGCTTTAATAACAAAAAGGTCAAAGTGACCCGGTGTAATCAGCCGTGACTCTGCGAGCAGTTTGGAAACCAGGTCTGTTCCTGATATAGCAAATGTCGTGGGCTTGGTTGTAAATCACAGATATTGCGGTCACAATGTCAACCGGCGCCTGTGTCACTCAGAATTTTTGCCTCTGGTTCTGACTGGAAATGTCACTTGTTGACAGAACATCAATCAGCCCCGCTTGCTCTCATCCTGTGCTGAAGTTTTGTTTTCAGTCTCTGGTGGCTACAGTAGCTCTCTGCTCAGTCATTTTATACCTTTCTGTCTTAAGCGGCAAAATGTGCTCGTGTTCCACTTATTTTTTTGACGTCTGACTTTTTTTTTCTCCATTTTATCTCCATTTTGTTTATGTCTCTCCCCCAACTGCCATGCAGCGAAATGTAGGAGGCAGGCAGCCGAGAAGAGTTTCACACCCACCTACGTATCAGTTCAACCTGTCCAGAAACCATCTAACCACATGGGAGAAATTCAAACACACAAACCAAGTCGGCTGTGAGAGGTGAAAGAACATCCTGCTCGTGCAGCGAAGCGCTGCGATCGACCAGACTTAGAAAAACAGGTAAACCAAAGCAGGCTGTGTATCAAACAGAAAACACCAAGAGCAAATGAGAAGTCATGTTTTGTTCCCAGCACAAGGGAAGTGGTTGGACGCCTTGCACATCGTTACAAAGCACTAAACTATTTATAAACTCTTTCGAAATTTAGATTTCCATAGCTTCTTTTGCAACAAATACAAAATAGACTAAAATAACAAAGAGAAAGGCACGAACTGTGACATTTATGAATGTGCCTTAAACTTCAGCCTTCCTTCTTCGCTCAATCTTTGCTTTTCCTAAAAACTGTGCGTTAATGGAAACCATTTCCTCTTTCTCTCTGCTCACCCAGGGTCTCAATCAGAAGCTGGATGCAAGTTGGGTTCGTTGCCAGTGATGGGCCGACAGTCGGGTGGATGCACATGTTGGCTAGCACCCTGACCAGTTTCACCAGGACATCGTCAGCCTCCTGCGCACTGATGGGAGGAGCAGCAGAGGCTCCACAGGGCGGCACGTCTCTCCTCTGGTAGCTGCTGTAAAGTCTGAGGAGCGTGTCCACGCAGCTGCTGCACTGGAAGAGCTGCTGCCGGGGCTCGTCACTTTTGGCGGTGAGGTTTCCCAGGGTGAAGAGAAAACGCACAACAAGGTCCTGCAGCAGAGCGGTGGAGTCATTAAGGGCCTCCTAAATGTCCTCGCACTTACCACTTTGCACATTACAAAACAGGCCAGTTCAAATGTAGCTTTTATGAAGACTGATCATTCTATGTGGAAAGGCTCACAGTTTTAGCTGTGCTCTCCTGAATAAGAGAGGGTATTCCTGCCGTGTTAAACTGTAGTCAACTGTGACATTTTTAAAGATTGGAACGTCAATTGCTTCTTCCCCTAAAGCACACATCATGAGCTGTCAAGAAACATCATTTTTACCTCAGAAAGAGCACAATTGTGTTCACCCATATTTTAAAAAAAAATCCAAATTATCGAATGCATGGCTGAAAATGAAACATTTTATTTAATTTTTAATAAAACTGAACACACACTATGGCGAACACGTACAAAAACACACATTTGTGCTATGAATGTGGTGGCACTGCTGAGGACAAGCAACTCTGACCCAGGGCCAGAAGGATCTTTTTTCCCTTTTGCTGTTTGTGCTGCTTCATGTAAGATTAAAGACAAACAGCACAATAATCATCGCCTCCTCACTAGCTTTCCTCCCTTTCACCTCTACATCACCTTTATTCATGTTTCCACTCAAGCTTGGCGCTTCTATTCTCCTCCCTCCTCCTCCTCCCTTCCACTCCTCATGAGATTATTAATTCTCAAAGCACAAACAGCATAGCAGGCAGAGAGATGAACTCTACATACTTTGGAGGGAGGTAGGTTCTTCTCTTGATTACATAAAGCATAAAGCACACAGAAAAAGACATAAAAAGGCTGGTGGACTCACCTGTTTTTGGTGATGTTTGTTCAGCAGTTCTAAAAACAACGGGTAGCAGTCCGGAGTCTGAGCCAAAGCCAGACGGCACTCAGAATAAGAGGAGAGCTTACTATAGGAGAGAGGAGACAATGAATACCCCAGACTCTTTCTTCCACTGACTAGTTATGCTCACACTGAAAAGTTGCAGAAGAACAGGGCAGGCTGAGGTCTACCATACAGGTCATCTTTTCATGACATTGGGTGAAAAATATGATCATCTTTGTCACTGCTTAAACTTAAGTTTGCTTTCATCACAACAAATTTTACACTGCATCCAAACATTTAGGATGCAGGACAGAATGCACTGATTTTAAAATCTCAAACATCAAAAAATGTGTTCACAATTGTCAATCATTGAGTGAAGGTTAAAGCTCCACCATGCAGAACAGATACCACAGTAGAAAAAAAAATCAAACTTGGCAAGATTTGGTCTAAAAGTTCTAAGTGACCTGTAAACCACAGGTTTATCCAATGTCAAAAATTACATTTTGGAAACTGTTACCATCATTTTAAAGGCACTTTATACTCTCTGTACGATGTGGGTGAATATGTTCAGATAGCCAGCAGATAGATACGTCACACTGACTACATGCAAGTTCTGTAAAAAACAAAGTTGCAATACCTATAAATTCTAGAAATGTTAGTGCAGATATCCTGGTCTTCACAGTGATGGTGCAGCACCAAGCAGAGTGCTGGCAGTATAGACAAGGAAACAAAAAGTGGACGAGAATCAGGATGATCTGCCAGGTTCCTCAGGGTGGCTGTCAGCTACAGACATTTGACAGAGAAAAGAGCAAAGAGAGAACACACTTGTGTTAGAAAGTAGAACACTACTGGTGTTGTTCTGCCTACCACAAAATGCTGTTCATGTATTTGTGAGGCCTGGCTGCCAGCCTGCACAGGATGCTATACAGAGGAGCAATGGGAAACTGTTCAGTACTGAAATAAATCATCATATCACAAGAAGGAAGCTGTTATTTCCAACACATGACAGCACTGGAAGCTCTGGAAAATCATAGTGTGCTTATTTTCCTCCGCTAACGGCATAATGAGCTGTGTTAGATATCAAATGAAGCACCAGTTCAAGATGTTTGTTTGGGTTCAGTTTGTGTGGTTTGTAGGAGTCATTTTCAGCTAAAGAGAAGCATAGTGTGTTTTGAACTGGATTGGCCTGGTAGGCAGAGAACATTATGCTCACGAAGCAGCAATAAATCAGACATAAACAAAAACACTTCATAGTTGGAAAATCTGTATGGGCCAAATAATACATCAAAAGTACATTTCCCATTTGGTTCCTCTTTAGCAATGTGGCTTTCACTTGCTATAATTCTGAGAATAAATCACATAAAACCTTTTTTTTTTTTGATCTGGAACTCAGAAACACTGATGCTCAGACAAACCTGGACGAGGATGTGCCCTGCTACAGTAAAGTTAGTGTCTTCTACCACGCAGAGCTTCTGAATGAGTTTCTGAGCCACACCAATAAAACTCTTGTCCAATAACTGCTTGAGGACAGCTGCGTTTCCGGAGATGAATTTAAAAGTACCAACACAGTACAGCAGAGCTTCCCCTGATGTGTTCACTTCCTCATTGTTTAATACCCCAAGCAATGAGTCTAGACAAAAAGAAAAGGAGATATCCATTATTACCATTACCATCTATGCAATGGTATGAATGGGTCTAAAAAATAACACTAAATGGAATAAATCTACATCAGATCTACTTAGAAACTACATAAGACATTATCTAATAACAAAAAAAACAAAGATTCCCTCTGACCAATCACAGAGTTGTTCTCGAAAAGGATGTCGTTGCTGTCACTGCGGCTGATCTGGAAGATGAGCTTACAGATGTTGAGCAAATTGTTTCCACTGACACACAGCTGGAGAGGAACAGAAAAAACAAGAAGCTTCTTACCACTTTTACAATGTGCAGTTGCCTGGATGCTTTATGACAGACGCTTGTGGCAGAGAGGCAGACGCACACACACACCCACACACACACCTGCAAACTCACAGAGGACTCACATCGAGGCAGAGCTTGGCGATGTGCAGGTTGAGCTGGGCAGACTTGAGGTCGATGAGGCGGAACAGTGCTCGCAGGATCCCTGACCTTCCCTTACAGTGTCGACCGAGCATGTTTGCCTCTGCCAAGGTGGCGTGGAGACGGTCACACAACTCACACAGGTGGTCCACTGAGTCTTTGGAGCTGCCTGGGACTGCAGGCACCCACAGAAGTGACAAAAAAACTATGTCAACTTCAGAGCAGCGTGACAAAAACAACAACAAGGTAATGAAATCAACAACAGCCATTTGTGTCTGTTGGCAACATAGATGAGTTTTATGGATGTCATAGAGAGCATGCGTAAAACGCAAGAGCTCATTTGTATGTTTAGGGACATGAGGTTCAGTACACAAATACAATAACATAATGGTCAGCAGAAAATCAGGACGGTTCCTCTTCCTCTTCTAAGAAGCAAATTTAGGTTTCAGTGGTCAAATGTTGAAGAACAATACAGCAACGGGCTGCTGACGAAGAGGAAGAGAATGGGTGGAGTCTTTTCCTTGTTTTTGAGCGAAAATAAATGTTTTCCCTGTATAAATCCTGGGTTTGGCCATTTCTAAGAAATGTCTCACACAGTCTCACACAGTCTCACACAGTCTCACACTTTACACTTCACTGCAATTTCACATCAAATCTCAAAGGTGTTTCATGCATGAGTCATAAGGCCCTTAGTACAATAAATATTTAATATTTATCTTTCATATGAATTTTCCATTAAATTTGTAAAGTGCTAAAATATTTAAAGCCCCACATTTTATGTCATGGCTGCCAGACAGCAGTTTCAGGAAAAAGACAATCATGAACAGATGCCAAACACAACGCTATTTTGTTTGTCTTTTTCCTCAGTGGGTGAGACTCATTTTGTGAGACTTTATGCATGACTATCTACCAATGCTGAGAAATCAGTTTCTCGACTTTCCAGTAAAAAAAAGCAGAAATGCACCAGGCAAATATATACTAGGTAAGAGGGACAGACAAGGGAAGCTTAGCACTTGTTAAAAGGCCAGAATCACCTCAGGAATATGTGATGTTATAACAAAAGTTTGGTCCGACTGCTGTATGTAATGAGTTTGGACTTTACTTTCTGGATTCACATCTGAATCACACACGGTACCTGCAGCCACCATTTCCAGCTCATGAAGACATGGAGCAATCATATCATTCAACACCAATGATTCTGAATCCTCCTTTGTGCATCTGTCATTGTCTTTGAACCCCAGCTCTGAAATGCCCATAGAGAATCATAGTTAGCCAATTACCTCCTGCAAAGACAGAGGTAACAAGCATAGTTCACAAGTTCACTGAGTTAAAATAAAACCTCAGGAAGTTTGGTGCCACAGTAAAGGTCACAGCTACATTTCCTCTGATTTTTTTTCTGTGCTGATGTGATACTGTCTGCATGCGGGCATGTGCAATGAAAGCACGTTTGCATGTGTGTTTGCGCACACAAATGTCTGCAATCTCACCACGCACATTTTTTTTCTGAATATTTGCATAACCCCCTTGCAACCCAGGAAACTGTGGTTGCACAAACCAACAGCTCTCTCAGCCATTGGCTGGCTGGCTGGTTGGCTGTCATGGTGGAAATTGGGCCCCTAGCAACAACACCCCAATCAAAGTTTGACACTTAACAAAGTTTGCTCAGTTACTGAGCAAGAGGTGTGTCTATGTTTCTGGTGAAACGACATAATTGGCCTGCAGACTTCATGACATGGTATTATATCTATATCTATATATAGTATAATGCATACTTGGCAATTAAAAAAATAGTTTTAATTTCAAGTAAAACTTGAAACTTAAAAAATTGATTATGAAATTTGTATGCTTTATCAAAACATGTAAAACTCTCCACTACTTTCTATTGTGCAAATGATGCCATTTATAAAGTTAAATGTGTACAGCTCTGAGGAAAATGTGCATATCATGAGCATTTAGAACATCTTGACAAACCTGTTTTTTGTTCTGCTCTAGAGTCTGTAGCTCTGGCTCCTGAGTCAACACCAGGCTGCACTAATTTACTGTTGAGACAAAGAACCACAAAAACATAAAGAGACACAGCATATTTCATAACCAGTGCCTTGAGTAGATAGATTTTTATTAATTCTGGAATTTCTGTCTCAGTGGGACTTTAAAAAAACACGGTCAAACCAAAAAGTGATAAACTACTGAGCCAAATAGGTGTACTTTCAGCCACCACTAGGTGTCCCTGTTGCAGCAGCGGTTAAGATGTCTGAACAGGTGCCCTTATCTCGGTTCTGTGCGTGTTCGTTTGCACGCTTATGAATTCATGTAAGTGTCTGTCTGGCTGTTGCGCGTGACTGCCTTTATCTGTTCAGATGTGTGACTGGACAGTTGCGTGTGCCGTTGTGCAGCACATTCTGCAACCTCCAACAGACAGGAACTAAGATCTCAGCCTTAACCAAACTGTGGGTAGTCTGGTAAAAGCTGTTCATGCTTTGTCACTGTGAGCTGTATCCACAGCGCTACCGCCTCTGTGCAATAACGGTAAGTGGCTCCCAAAAACACAGCCAAGTGTCATGATATGCTGTGCGTTGCGGTTTGTTCTCTGTATGTATGTAATTGTTGCATCCTGATTTACTGCCTTACGAGAAAAAACAAGCCTCAAATCTCTGGTAAATTCTGTGAAATTTGACAGGTGGAGAACAATAGGGCTAAATGCAAAATGGCTACAATGGAAAATAACTATCAATGAATAAAGTTAATTGTGTAGCAGCATGACATGTCCAGAGATTACCCCACTTCTTTCCCAAATGCAGTTAGAAAAGGTTCCACAACCTTGAAATAAACGAGTTTAGACAATATATGGATGGATAAAACTTAACCTCTTTTTACTTAGTGGCAGAAACACATATATACAGCATGTGTGCTTTACCACTAAAGAGCACAAATCCCCTTGCAGTTTGAAAACTGGTAGAAGCTGGCATATTGAACAGACATGGTGAGGAGTGCTGACTCTGGGATACAGGAGTGAATGTCAAAGGGCTTTGACTTTGTATGACAGGATTAAGAGCCTGATAATAAGGCTTCTTTGTGTGATTCTGCATTCTCCGAGACATGACCTCATCTCTGTCTTATGCCTGGCCAGCGCAGTGCAGGCACAATACATGCTGCTGCCAGCCTTGCCCAGATGGGCACCCAAATCTAATAGAGAGCCATTTGGAGCTATAGAGCTCAGGCTAACTGCAGAAAAGCACTGAGAGGATGTGTAATCTCCCCTATCTTAATATCTCATCCAACCCATCATGTTAATCTATTGTGCTGTTTCCATTTCCACTTGCAGTCGGGGTGGTTCTGACAATGATTTCTGCTCTGTTTGTCCCTCCAATTATGTAGTTCATTGCAAAACTGACTGACTGCTTTAACGACTCTGAATCCAAAACTCCTTAAATCCATCCATACTCCAGTCACTTGTGCCATGCCTGTTTCAGCAACAAGTTACACAAGCATTGTGACTTAACTTGGCTTGTGAGGGAAGTGGTTATGCTACGGGCAATGGCCCAGATTTCCAGTAAAAGTGTTTTATGATCTGCTGTGTCCTCCCTCCCCAATCCCCAGTCAATCGATAGGCAGATAGATTGTAACGACAGCCCCCCAACATCATACCCAGAGTTATGCCTCTTGTGCCGACACACAGCTGATGAGGTCGGCAGAAAAGCAGAGCTTTTAGGCTGTCAGTGCAGTGAAAGTGTAAAAGCTGACACGTGATAGTAATGAGAGATAGAAGGTGTTTTACTGGGAATGACGTTTTCCAAGGAACTGTATTTGAAAGAGACAAATACAGACTTTACAGTAAACACACCAGCGTTCACAGAGCAGTTCAGTATTGGAAGTTCATAATTTTTTTTTATTTCGTTGTGAACACATATGCTATTTTGACTTCCCATATTTAACTGTCATCGCTTCTATGTGTTATAAATTAAGAATGTTGGCTTAGAAAACTTTGAAAAATGTTCATTAGACAATTAGAAGCCCAATCCTATTTTGATTTCATGCAACACCCTTAGGAACCTTCATTTGTGACAGTAACAGAGTTACAAAAGTACCATATTACTTACAACTACAACATTTGTAAAAAGCTTTGCAAACACTGAAAACTGTATTTTCCTTTCCAAGAAATCGAACAGGATCTCTACAGAACTTTAAGAATACAGTTAATTTTACTTGCTGGTAAAATGCTGCAGATGGAAAAGTATTTAATAAAAGGCAAAATGAGGAGGCAGCTCCATCTAGTAATGGCTGCCTGTGAAACCCTGTGTGCCATTAAATCTTAAATTCATTGTGCTGCTGTCATTATGGTCAAAGAGAGGGAGTAGGAGAGGATGAAAGGCAGGGGACATAGACTGCAAGGCAAACAGAAGCGCTACCTTTCACTCGCTGCTCTGCGTGGGCCAGCTTTGAGAGGACCACTGTGAACTGTGGTGTGGTCTTTGCTGAAAACACGGCTAGCTGACTGCTGCTGCTGTCCAGGACCTCTTTTTTTCACTATACATATTGAAAAGATAAAATAAAAGGTAATTATACATACTGGGGGCTGCAGCAACACTTCTGAGATGCAATGCTAAAAAAAGTTTTATTAATAGTAATGTCAGGGATAGGTGATCAATTAGCCAAATTATCAATTTTCTTATCCTTAATTTTAATTTGATTCTTGCATATTTTTTCTCAGCACTTAAAATAGATTTTCATTCAGTACCTTCTGTATATGATTCTAAAGGCAGCAACTTGTTAAGAGATCCTGCCTTAAGAAGGCGTGCCCGGGACCCTGATAGTCCCCTCCTCGCCTCCAATGGGTCAGTGGGGGGTTTGGGAAAGGACTTGAATGGATTATCAGAATCACAGGTGACTGGAAATTTTGGTTTCTGAAACAAAACAATCTTTCTTTCATGAATTGTCCATTCATTAAAAAATAATCAATTTTTTTTAAATAAATGATAGCATCAAGAATTAAAAAAAGTTAAGTTCCCTAGTGATGAGAGGCAGTCCCTTGAGTTGTCTCTTTGTTCTAAAATATTTATTTATATCCTTCCAATTGTACAGCCACATATTAAATGTCTTGATCAATAATGGGAGCGCGAGTTCAGTTTATATGATAGTACTCTAAGATACAATGATGATATTATACAGTCACTTATTTAAATGCAAACAACCTTTTTCTGGAAAAATGCTACTCACACCAGAAAACATTTAATGCATAGTTACAGGAACATACATGATCCAGGGGCGAGAGGCGGGATCCTGAGCCTGGTCTGGAGTCAGAAGCATCAAAATTTTGAGTATGGAGACTGCAAAGTAAAAAACAACAACAACAAAAACTCCATAAAAACTTCAGTTAAGTTAGAATATATTGTCCAGCACTAATAGGGGGAATGTGTGACTTACCTAAATGTAGATGGGGGTCTGCTGTCACGATTTGCTCGAACAGAGTTCCGCCCAAAAAGCTGTCTGTGTCCATCTCTTGGAGTAAATGGTCTCTGGGTGGACTGAACCCGCAGGGACTGCCTGGCTTCACTGACTATCTCTGCACACGTTTTCCTCAAACTGTTGCGCCGACGAACAAAAGGGCTGCAGATCTCATGTTTTGTCTCCATAGAAATCATTTAGGCCTGCGTGACATTTGTTTACAAATTCAGTAGTTCCTTATTTTAATGAATAGCACAAGTTAAAGTGTAGCACTGATGGGGAAATAATGAAATTAAGTCTAAATTAATTCCTAACTTCAGAAAAATATGTCAATCTTAAGCATGGATTGGTGAAAGTGAGTCTCCCTGATTTATATTCTGCTTTGCATGAGTGAATGCAAAATCTACTCAGCTGCACATGTCTGTAGATTTGGGATTACAAAGCAGGAACAATATTTAACTTGAGTCACTATACTGAATCCATTTTTCCTCAAAATACTTATATATACACATATCATTTTAAAATATTATGTACTTTGCATGTCCTGGGCCAACAATATAACAAATCTTACGTAAGTCACATTTGGTAGTTCCAATGCGCGTTCACGTTCCGTCTCCATGGTGATCAAATGTCGCTACACTTGTTTGAACAACAAACCCAACAAAGCAACAAACATATCATTCAAACTGAAAACCTTCCTTTGCCCATCCGACATATAATGTTTTTATTAAGCGGAGACAAACTTTTACTTTTCCAAAACGTGCTGGAAAACAGGAAACCTTTGAAAAGAGTGGCGTTTAAACGAAAAGCCTTTTCTTTGGGTAAGTACTGGGCAGCTGGATCACTCACCATTAACGCTCCACAAAGATGAAAAACAATTTAGCCAGGTATGTCTCCAGACTTTAGGTTGGTCGTCCTCAGTCATAACGGGGAAACAACAACAGCCGAAAGCTGATAGAAACGGATACGTTTTGGAGCATACTGCAAAACTGACCCGAACATGTCATGTGCACGAGCTTCACGGGGTCCCTTCGGTCGCGCGACAAGATGACGCACCGTCAACGGTCCGCCAGGAAGCTGTGAGAGCCCCGTTTCTGTCGTTTAAAGGTGAGTGTGTGCGTAAGTGCTTACTTTTTATACGTTTTATATGCACTTTGTGTAACAAAGAAAGAGAGTGTGGTTTAGAAAGTGTGTGATAAACCCAAATAAGCTAGGTTTTGTTGGTAAAAATAAATAAATTTCCATGTGTGGCCCTAAGCAGAACAGTTAATAGCACTGATCCGGATTTGAACTAGTGTGCAAAATTGTGATGAGAATTAATGTGCAAATGGTACCATTTTAGAAACTACTTGTGTAATGAGAGTTAATCCTGTATGATGAAAATTTATGTAATCTGTACCATATAGTATTTTCTAGTCTAGATTCACTGCAGATATATGATTCCCACTTAGTTGAAAATATGAAATGTGGAAGCTTGTGATAATAGTTGTAGTAATAATCACACTACTAGCAATAATGTAACCAAACAATGCACCTAAGATTATTTGGCGAGATTATATGTGCGTAACAATGGTAGAAAGGTTAAATGGATCAACTTCCATCAATTAAGCCAAAAAAAATTAATATTTGCTATTGCTTCCATGATGAGAAAATAATAGCTTTCAATGCAGCTTAAATACCCCCTTTGCTTCAACTCATTAGAAAGAAATTTCTCTAATTTGGGAGCCCTATAACAGACACCAAACCTCTGTTTATTACAGACTTTGGCCCGGTCTCCATAGATAAATCTCAGTTGTTGGAGGGGCACACATTAAGTTACTAAGTCTCAGATGTATTTTGTGAAAAAGGCCATTTAGGACAGATATGTCCTACATAGATAAGCAGTGCGATTTGGAAATAAGCAGAACATCTGATAAGAGCCCACCAAAGGAAGCAAAGCACTTATTTGCCTGTGATAAAATAAAGAGAGCTCGTAAATTAATGTAAAAAAAATATTGGCAGTAAAAGGAAGAATGATTAAACAGTGAGACAGTGAGAAACAGGTGTCCATAAACCCCTTTGTGGATATCAACAAGCCAAACTTTCCCAACTTTTCACAAAGAGTGTGTGTTGTTACCTACAAAAACTGTATAACAATCAGTATTGAAAAATTGTATTATTTTATTATTATGTTGATATCTTATTGTTCAGTGTGTGATTTGTGTGTTTAACTTGGAATAAAGATCATTTAGACATTGAAGCAAATAGATACAAATCTCTGGAAAACTGTTTTGTTAGTGTTATTCTGATTTTATCACTGATTGACAAGCCGTTCTCTATTTTCAATTATTGCCTCTCATGTTAAAAGTACACAGATCTAATACAATAAGCCTGTAAATCAGATATCTTCATCTTCTCAATATCATGCTCCATACACTTCAAATAATAAGAAAAACTAAAGCAGGATGTTTAAGGTGTGTGTCATGTCAGTTTTATTCATTATTACACAAATATTTCACAAAAAACTTTTCTGCAACAAGGAAACAGTAGTGACCACTGTGCCGAAAATGCATTTCTGTCATGTTAGCTAAGTCCACAATTTAAAGTAGACCAAAAATAAAAGATAACAAGAAGAACGTGTTAAATATTCAATGAGTGTTTCTACTTTAACTGTAGAATTTCTTATTACCACGTCGTCGAGCAGATTTGTCCGCCATTTTGTAGATAAATAAATGGTGACGTATCAGAAAGGATTTGACCCAAAATGGCTGCAGACACTGTTAACCCCAGCGACAGTTTTATCCGGTTGTTGTGGTCCACAGCAAGTTGGTCTTGGATGCAACATTCCTGCCCCGTGCGCGTAGTTAAAGATAAAATATTGGCTTTAACAGCGGATTGCAGTTTTACAGGATAAAGAATTCCAGCTTCTGCTTCCTTTGTCCTTTTGATTGGTCCAGATATATTTGCCCTCTTCAAGTTAAATTCGCAGCAGTCGAAGCCTCAATACGGGGAAGTTGCAGGACTGGATCAAGATTCATCAATAAAATCAGAGTTCAAGAAGAGTGCGAACTGCCGAAGTTCATTTAGTCAAGTCACGCTTCGCTCTGGGTCTCTTTAACCCGTCCGGATGGGCTGACCACTTTAAACACCAATCAGGTCTGCCTGGATTTTCACATTTATCCACTGGTAAACCTTTTCCCCACTGGCTTTTTTATTTTTTACACTCTGAAATATACATCTGAACAATCTTGCGAGGCTCTGGTTGGATTTAAATAGCCTTACATGCTTCAGTCTCTTGGATACAGTGAGCCTCATTGGACGGGAGTCCACGCTGAGCATGCCCAATCACAGGGCATCACCATGGAGCTCACTAGCCAATGGGAGGAGGAAGATAGTCTCTGTGATTTCATTGTCACTAAGGGAGGGGGATCATACTGCCAGGACAGTTGGCACTAACATGCTAAGCAGTGGACTCTATTATAGTTCGACTCTCCTGTGGAGCCAGTTCAAGAGTGTTGAGGAGGAGAGAAAAGCAAACCCAGAGGGTCTGACGGTGAAGCTCGTCTCAGCAGGAGCTACGCAGTCCCACGCCAATGGCTTCATAGTACACCCACATCACTGATCAGTGCAATTCACGTCACAGGAATGATTGAGTTGATCTGTGAGAGTCATCGTCCTGGTTGAAGGTGGTACGTCTCCTTGGCAACCAGTTCCATCACTGGCCAGAAGCTTAGACAGACAAAGAGCACTTAAGTCAGGACAGGGGCTCCTTCACTCCCCTCACATTTTCATTCCAACCTGGTTTTCATTTCGAACCTGAGTGGCATCTCTTTTTCTATCTATTTTTAATTCTGCTTGTATGTTTTTCTGCCAAAAATCCATCCATCCAAAAATACTGCATTCAATCACGGTAAATTCTCAAAACACAGTTTTAGAAACCTTTCACATTGCATCCAGCTTTACATGCTGTCTGTGCCAGTTGCAAGATATTTTGGCATTTTTTACATATTGTATCAGTAATTTACCAGTTCAGGGTCGTTGTGGCACTTAATGTGCGAAACACCCTGACACAACAAAGAAGTTCAAAGGTTGAGATTAATTTTACATGCACACACTTCCAAGTTTCCAAGGTTTTTATTATCAGACAAATTGCGTTAACTCCAATTCCTTAACGATGAGAATGTTCTCAGAAACTATTTTTCAGGCACCAAGAAACAGTCCTATCCTTTGTAAGTGTCCTTATACAAAAACCTACATTAATCTTATACTTAAAACATTTTATGCATATTTTCTCAGAGTTTAACAGCGCTGTTATGACATTTGTGATATATTGGTAGTGTCATGTAAATGAAAGTTATAATCCTATCTCAATTACCTGTAAATGGTTCGTGTTCTGCTTAACAGGTGACCTAGATGTGTCCAACTAATGCGTGAAACTTCCACCTTATTATTATCACCCCTTGTTTTTTTTCCGTTTTAGTCAGCTTTTCCTGTAGTTGCATAAGTAACGGCCTGACTGAAGTTTTTATGAGCCAGCAGGTTGTTGTTAGACCATGACAGAAATTAGCAGTGAGTTGTTCTTTATTTTTCTGTTCAGTCAGCAGCTTGCCTCATTGCTGACAGATCCGGTGTGCGCTTTGACACGAAAAATCATATTTCTTACCCATTTTTAAAAAAATCAATTGCCTGCATAAGATCACAGATTCAGCTCTTTAGGAAGACTGCAGTAAAACTGGTTGTTCAAAGCTGTCTCATGCAGGGACGGCAAAACAGAACAGCATATTCTGCTTTTTTATTTTCAAAGATTTTAAAAAGAAAACACTCAAGGAAGTTTCTTTAGAGGGGAAAACTTTTTCAAAGAAACTTGACTGTTTCTCTGTGTCAGTTTCCCTCAGAAACAGAAGACAAAATGAGAAATGTAATTGCTCAGACCTGCAAAGCAAGTTCATTTTTTTGGCAGCATCAGTTTTGATTAAATATTTCAGGCAGTTCATGTTTGTGTCATGAGGTTGAGGTGTCTGTCCACACTCAGAAGCAGAAGTGGGCACGGAGCCAGACGCTGAACTGACACGGCACACAGAAATTCAAATAAAGCAGACATGCTGGGCAGACAGTCGCCAACTTATCGCTCATCTCTCTTTGTGTAAATGCAAAATAAATATCAGTCTCTCTGAAACATACAAACACTTATATCACTCATTGGCACGTTTTGTTATGCAGCCTTAAGGGCAAATTGCAATACTTGATATTTTGGAGAACACACTCATTTGTTTTCTAATGAAAAGTTAGTAGTTAGGCAGGTTAATGTGTATGGCTGTGAGGTGTCAGGACAGCTAGCAGGCGACGAGTGTCTACAGTTGTTAGATAAAACACCATTTATCACGACGACAAAGAGTGTCAAGCTGAAGAGGTCGTCAAAGGCATCTTTAAAAGCCACAAAATATTTCAAGAGACATGGTGGCGGTATTATACAGGACCGAAGGAGAAGAGGACTGCATCTTTTTGTACGTGGACCTCCATTGTGATTAATGTCAGTACGCCTTTAGTTGTGTTATTCTGGGCTGGAAAGATGTTATATCGGCCATCAGGCGCACTGTAAAATCAATGTGGATAAAACTGAAACAAACCCCTTCTTTTGTTTTTGATTGTTGTACTTTTCTAAGATGCCTAAATCAAGCCCATATTTATCAAACTCAAAGGAGATGGTTCTGTTCTTCTAGTTCTAACAAGAAACATACCAAACAATGTCCATAAATGTTGAAAAAATTCCTGAATATACACATTGAAACCTTTTGAACTGTTGTTTTCCACTTTAAAGAGATTCCCTTTGACGGTTTCATGTGCAAATGGGTCCTGTCCTATTTAGATTACTGTCACCCTGATGAAGCTCAATGAGCCGTATCTGTTCCCATTTTATAATCTAATCTAAATGCAGGTGACTTAGCCCTTTCTTAAAATCTCTAACAGCTGTTTGTGTGAGGAGATATGTGGGCGTGAGTCCTGGCCTGCTAGTGTGGCTCAACGTGTTCCTCCCCTGCATCGGCCCTCGCAGCACTTTTCACCAAGGCCATCTGACCACACAGAAACATTCACAAACACACATTCGCTGACTCACTCTAACAGTCCTCCTGTCTTCATTATTTATCTC